TATCTGTTCATACTTATCCAGTAATATCTGCTCATATTTATCCTATATGTGTCCTCCTGAAAAGCAGGAGTTGCTCTGAGTTGACTAGAGTCGCAGCAACACAATGAACAATAGAACCCCACCCTATATTTTGCCATCCTCACCATCTTTAAGATACACGAACCCCCTGGTACAGTTACTGTGTTGATTCATCTTGCTTATGGATCTCCCTATCTTTCTCTGACCCTCCCTGCACATTTCCAAGCATGATGTCCTTTTCCAAGGCCTCTCCTAACAACATGCACAAAGTACATGAGATAGAGTTTTATCATCATTACCTCTAAGGAGCATGTTGGCTGCACTTTCTCGTAAACATATCTGAAAAGTATATGGAAACACCAATAGCTGACCCTCCAGCAGATTTTCAGAGGCTGTAAATCATACAGGTGATAGCCCTGCTGGTCTGGTGGTAAGAAGCTGTGCTGCAATCTCAAATGCACGCAGTTCATATCTACTAGTAGCTCCGCAGAAGAAGAACAATTTCCTACTCATGAAATGAACTGCCTCTGAAAAGCCGCTGGAGGGTCAGCTATGGGTGGGTTCTGACCTGAAGACACACAACAAACTTGAAGGCACACAATAACAACAAATCATATTGTCTGTCTGTCCTTCTCCCTCAGAGCAGCTGAACTGGTCTTTCAGTTCCTTCAGTCTTCTGATGGCTGACTTCACCGTCACGGCCGAGGTGGTGTTGTAGGTTTAGATGCCACCAGCTACTATCTTCATGCAAGAGCTACAGTGCCAGATGCCCAAAGCTCATCTCTTCATTTTGGTTTTGCTGCAGAAGGAGCAAGTGTACTTGGCATGCTGGCTGATTTCAATTTTCTTTACCATTTTCCTGAGTGAAGCACCATAACGGGTCCCGTATTTACTGACAATGCAGACTTTCTTGGTGTGTTTGGCCATTTTGCCATAAACTAGAACCAAACCCAGAGAGCACAACATATCTTCTTAACACCAGGCCACCAGAGCTCCCTGAATGTGGATAGTGTACCCTTTTGTAATATGACTCACTCTCGTGGTTATTCACAAGAAGTCTTAGTTTTTCTTTTTTCTTTTTTTTTTTTTTGTCTTCCCAGTTGTATACCATCGAATCAAGTCAGACTGGCACAAGAGGAGATTGCCCCTCCTTCTCCAGAAGAGCATTTGGTGAATTTAAACCGTGTGCCTTCAGGATTGCAGGGCAGCTTCTTGCCACTAGGCCATTAGAGCTCCCTAGGCCTTAGTTTTTCATTGGCTCAGTTCCTCATTGAATGACTCTTTTTATGGAGCTGCTTGAGAGTGCTCACAACATGGTAGCTGATTTCCCTGGGTGTGAGTGGTCCTAGAGTGAAGGCAAGGAAGAAGTTGCAATCCCTTTTATAACTTATCTATACGTTGCATAGTGTCATCGCTGGCATATTCTATTACAGGCTATAGTCTAACTATTAAAGGCAATCTACACCTTTGTTGAATTAAACGCATCTGTTAAGCAAAAGACCAAGTCTCTAGCAGTTCAAACTTACTAGTCCCTACACTGGAGAAAGCTTGGGAGTGTCTTCTTCTTAAAGATCAGAAAAACAATAGAGGGTCACTATAAATTCGAATTGACTTGATGGCAATGAGTTTGGCTTTGGGGTGTTTTTTTTAAAAAGTTTGGTTTTTTTTTCTTGATGAAAAGAGTACCACCAAACTTGTAGGGATAACTTTGAAAAGCTACATAGGGTTTTTGTTGTCTTATCATTCTCACCAGCTGCACAGTGAGATCTCTTTTTTTGCCATCAATTCAGAACTAAGACAGAACGCTGCAGAAACAGTATGGGTATTAAAAGTGAGGCACTGATGAGGAGTCCAAAAGGACTTGTAACAGGGGACCTGAAGCATGTAGATTCCAAGCTGCCACTTAACCTTCAGAGGAAAATAATGTTTCCAGTTACTTTTTATTTTAAATTTGATAATCTAATATCTCAGTTATCAGAAATAACTCAAGTGTATGGCATTCACAAACATTTATTTTCTCACAGTTTTTGAGATTAGAGGTTTGAATTCAGGATGCCAATTCCAGGGGAAGTCTTTCTGTCTGTGTGGGCTCTGGAGAAAGGTCCTTATCTTTCAGTATCTATGGGTCTAATGCTTCTTGGAAATTTACACATGTCTTGGCTTTGCGCTGTGTTGAGAAGGTTCCCAGCATAAGGATCTGGCTACAAAGGACATGCTCCACTCTGCCTCTTCTTTTAAGGAGATACTGAGACCCTCCACTCAGGCCACACCCTAGGAAAACTCCCCTTACATTCAATCAAGGTCATCACATCAGACCATGCTGCCACATTACATCCAAAATACTAAGAACTATGACATGGCCAAGTTGACACATTTGGCAGGCCGAGGAGAAAGGACAATCAATTCAATCCATGGCATTTAAGTAAATTCTCCAAACATTGGATAGATAGCAATTTGGATTATCATTCTTTCCCAGGAGGTTGACCTAAAAGTTCTGGCAGAGTTTTGTTTTGTTTGTTTGATATCTTACTTGAGACTTAGCCTCATTTTAGAATATGATGAAAGGTAAGGGACTTAATTGAGGAAAATACACATATCCACAAAATGTTAGACCTTAAATCTCAAAGGCTTGCGTGGAGCTCTAATGACCTAGTGGCAGAAGCTGAACTAAAATCCCAAAGGCAAGTGGTTTGAGGCCACCAGCTGCTCCCTGGGGAGCAATTTCCTTTTGTACAATTGACTGCCTCTGAAAACCTGCTGAAGGGTCAGCAACAGATCATTTCCGACTCTCCAGTATACAACACACAACAGCACAACAGCAAGCCTGCCTATGGCTAACATAGATGACAAATTATGGCTAACCTTGAGAAAAAATGGGTTTCCAGAACACTTAATTATGGTTAAACAAAATCTGTACCCGAGACCAAGAATCTGCTGTCCAAACAGATCAAAAGGAACAAAGCTTGTTTTAAAACCAAGAAAGGTGTGCATCAAGGCTGTATCTTTTTTCTGTACTATTAAATCTGTAGGTCCACTAATCATTCAAGAAGTTGGACTTTATGAAAAATGTGGCATCAGGATTGGAGGCTGACTTATCAATAATCAGCATTATGCAGATGACAGAACCTTGTTTGCTGCAGGTGAGTAGGACTTCAGGCACTTGCTGCATGCAGATCAAGGACTTCAGCCTTCAGTATGGATAACATCTCAACATCAAGATAACAAAAATCCTCGCCACTGGGCCATCACACACTTGGTACCAGCAGATAGGAGATCGAGAGATGTTCAGCAATGGCTAAGTCAGGGACCTCACCAAAGTCCTGATGTCAATTTAAAGACTAAGGTGCACCTGATTCAAGCCATAGTCTTCCCAATCATCTGCTATGCAACTGAGAGCTGGGCAGTGAAGAAGGATCGAAGAAGAATGGAGGCTTTTGAGTTTTTATATTGGAGAAGAGTGCTGAACATCCCATAGACTGCCAAAAGATCAAACATTTTAGACAAAGTGCAGCCAAGAGGGCTCCTTAGAGGTAAGGATGGTGAAGCTTCCTCTCACATGTACTTTGGGCATTTTCCTAAGAGAGATCAGTCAAAGTGAGGAAAACTCTGGATGAGATGGATTGACACAATGACTGTAGCAATGGATTCAAGTATGTCAAAGATGGTGGGGGAGGTGCTGGATAGGACAGGGTTCCGAGCTGCTGTTCATATCGCTCATACTCTGTGAGGCTTGTAACAAAAGCCTGCCTTGGATTCTGGATTAAAATCTCTACAATGTTCACAAAAGAATTTTTTTAAGCTTAATGCTGTCGCTAAAACTTATCTTTAAATCAGAAATCACTCACAAATGTAAATTCTTCATAAAACATTTTTTTCCCCGTTCCACAGAACGAAAGGCCTGAACGCCAAATAGATTTTTTTTTCAGTGCTTAGATTTGGTGTATATTTTGAATATTTTACAAGCAAATGAACACGGTAGGCCGATGGAGGACTGGAATGTTTGCTGAATAACAACAGACAACAACCCAAAGCATGCACAGAAGTGCTGCCTCTCTCCATGCCAGCTTGCCAGATAGAGAAGCTGTTAGAATAGAGAAGTGACTTGACTTTCTACCTAGCTAAAAGACTACATTAATTTCTTTTACCACCAATCCCCGGCCCCTCGCCGAGGACCCTCAAATAAGATCTGATGTGAGTGCCGAAGACCCACCTCTAGTGGTGGGAACTCAGTCCCTATAACTGGACTATAGGAAACCGCACGGCCTGAGAACTCTTGGCTTCTCTGCACCAGCCTCTCATCCCCGATGGGGTGCAAAGGCCACCCAGGAGATGGGGCTTCCCCTCAGGCGATGGCTGAGCCCCTACTGAGCGCTCCCGGGTCGCAATTGCGCGCGTGACCCCCGAGCTGGGCAGGGGGAGCGAGGAACGCGGCACCCCGCCCCCCCGGACCCCCGGGCTGCGCGCCGACCCCTCCCTCGCGCTCCTCGCCCGCGGCCTCTCCGGCGCACGCGCGGCCTCGCGCAGGGCGGGGAGAAGCGGTGGCTGCAGGCGCCGGCCGCGAACCTGTCAGACCTGGGGAGCCGGCCGCGGTGGCAGCTGGGCGGGTGTGGCTGGCGCGGGGGGCGCGCTGCTCCGCGGCTGTCGGGGCCTGGATGGTGAGAGCTGGCGCAGCGGGCCGGGGAGATGATCCGGGCCCCGGAGCCAGTGCCCCAGGTAGATGCACCGCCCCCTCGCGGAGCCCCGGCCGGGCTTCCCGGCGCCGCGGGCGGACGGCGAGCTCGGGGCCGGCCCTGCCCCCTGCCGCCTGCGGGGTCGGAACTTGAGGGGGATGTTGGCGCCTTCCATTTCTAACGTGTTCCTTCTTTACAGGGTGGGGAGGGACGCCCAGCCTTGCCTCGGAAACTAGCGCTGCGGTGAACTAGGAGGCGCCAGCCTTCCGCCTGCCCCGGACGGTTCTTCGCCGCGGCCGCGCAGCCTCGGCCATGGCCGGAGCCGGCGCCTGGAAGCGCCTCAAATCTCTGCTGAGGAGGGATGATGCGCCGCTGTTTTTAAATGACACCAGCGCCTTTGACTTCTCAGACGAGGTGGGGGAGGAGGGGCTTTCTCGCTTTAACAAACTTCGAGTGGTGACGGATGATGGTTCCGAGACCCCAGACAGGCCTGTCAACGGGGCGCTGCAGGCCGACGACGACTCCTTATTGGACCAGGATTTACCTCTGACCAACAGTCAGCTGAGTTTGAAGGTGGACCCCTGCGACAACTGCAGCAAGCAGAGAGAGGTGCGGAAGCAGAGAAAGGTGAAGACCCGATTGGCCATTGCTGCCATTCTTTACTTGCTTTTCATGATTGGAGAACTTGTAGGTGAGTTGTGTTGCCAGCTCACTTTCTGTTTACCTTTTGCCTGGAGAGACCCTGTCATGTTTAAATGCACGTGTTTTGGACGCTTCAACTTTCTTTCCAGGGAATGTGTTCTTTCAGGGGGCCTGGTTATCGAGTGCTGCTCTCATAGAAATGTTGTCCCTGTTTAAGAGGCTAGACGTCTGAATTTAGGGTGCTGGTTCTGGGAGAAGTTCCCTGTTTGTAGGTACTGGATGAAGGACTTGATTTCTGAGCTTCTGTTCCTGGGAGATCGTTCTGTGGTTTGACATCTTCCATCATTTCTGCTTCTCTGGATTTCTTCTTTAATATCTTAGAACTAATCACAATATCCCAGTGGACTAAGTATCGCCCTGCTAACAGAGAAGAAAGGTGAGGTAATTTGCCTCCATAAAGATTTACTGCTTTGGAAGCTCTAAAGGGTAATTCCACACTGTCCTGTCCATAGCTGAGTTGGGGACTGACTCCACAACAGCAGTGGTTTAATCCTGTTTGGCAATGTTGTCTGTTTTATTGAGACAGGATCCGTGTAGAGGGTCTGGAATCAATCTCCCTAGAGATATAGAACAGATTAAACAAGCAAGAGAAAGACACAGATGAAGGAAGGAGAGAGGCCTTTGGCTGTGATCTATCTTAGGGCAAAAGTCCTCTTCATCTCTGACCCTATGAAATCTATATTGCAAGGTATCTGTTTCCAGAGTGTAATTATGGGACAGACACAAGGTAGACATTGAGATAAACTAGAGGGGAAGCAGGGAGAACATAAAGCAAGTCCAAAGGCTGGTGGAATAGTTTGCATTTTGTCTCAAGGCTTACCCTCCAAGACAGATGATTGTTCTCCAAGACAACCCTGTCTTGGAGGAAATGCAACCAGGATGCTCCTTAGATGTAAGCATGGTGAAACTCCATTTCATGTACTTGGCGCATATTGTCAGGAGGAAAAAGATACCATGCTGGGATAGGTAGAGGATTACTGAAAAAGAGGAAGACCTTCAACAAGATGATTGACAGTGTCTGTAACTGGGGGCTGGAGCATGACCGATGGAGAGAAGAATGTAGGTTAGGGCAAGATTTCAGTATGTTGTTCATGAGGTCACTGAGTTGTAGTGAAGAGGATGGCATCTAACAACTCAACGCTTGAAAGTAATCTTTCTGAGACCCTAGAATCTGGATGGAGGCCCCTCTGCCCCACTGAGATGGCAGTTCTACTTCTTGTGATTTTTTTAGCCCATCCTCCTAGTCTCCCCTCTAAGCTTTGGAGTTTGGCAGCAGCAGCCCCACATTCCAAAACTGAGTTGGGGAAGATACTGGCAAATATTAAACTCTGAAACCTAGGAGGCACTTTGAGGCCCAGGACACGACAGCCCTATTTTGTGAGTCTGAGATGACCATGTTCCTTTGAATATTCTACTGATTCCAAGCTGCTCCCATGGTCTTTTTCTTTTTTTGGAGGATTATAGATTAGCTCCATTGGCCTATTTTCTACCTGTATAATTCCAAAAAGCAGACAACATTCATTTCATTCTGTCTTCTTTCCCTTTAGTTTAATCTGATGGGTTATTCTGGTTCACTAGTTGGTTAGATTTCATCAATCATGGGTTGGATCTCTTTAACAAGATTGTGTAGTCACATCCTTGGTGAAAATTCTAGAATGCATGACCCAAGTTTGTACAGAAGAATTTTCTAGATCTTTTGAGGGTTTTTTTTTTAATTGAAAAGTTCAGTTTTTAAGTCCATCTCTTTCACATTTTACTATTAGCAGCAAGGAGAAATCACAGGACCCATTATGTACAGTGTTTAGATGAGCTTCCAGATTGATTTATGCTGGGAAGCAGGAGTGGCATCCAGTTCCTAATCTAGAGGCCTCTGGAAACTCTACAAACTCTCTAAACTCTATAAATGTACAGAAATTATGTTACTTATAGAACAGAGTTTAGGTCTTTTGTGTTACACTCTCAGTCGTATTCAGTTTAATGATACTTAACCACTGCTAAGTGAAACTAGTGCTTTTATATCTGGAGGAACACTCTTCCACTTTGTACATCACTCTTTGTCAGTGTGCAGTGTGAAATAACCTGGGTTGCTGTGATGCTGAACCTTGTACCATTATGGTATCAAGTACTAAAATGGCTTCCCAGTGTAGACAGTGTTTGGTGGAGCTCCAGGGTTGGAAACAGGAGTGGTATCCACTTCCTCCTAAACCACACGCCTCTGGAAACTCTGTGAACTTAGAGAAATGACAATAGTTATGGAAAGGCATTAGGCCTTTTGTTCATAGAATTGCTATGAGTCGCACTCGACTCGACAGCAATCAACAACAGCAGACAGCAATGAGAATTCTCAAGCTTTTTATCTAATGTAGAAAACAAATGTTAAACACATGAATAAATGTAACATTCAAATTCTTTTAATCGCAATTTTTTTTATAAAAAAACCAACAAGATGCTATAAAAGATAGTAACTAGTGGAACATAGTTTGTTATGAGCCAGGTACATTTAAACTGCCTCTTGAAAAAAGTCAGTAGGAGTTAACCAAGCAGAATGAGTACAGAAGAGGTTTTTCAAGCAAAGAGAACAGCATACACACACATCCTAAAAGATCAGTATAGCTGGAGTCTTCAGAACATAAAATTGTTTTGGAGAGATATGTTGGGACACCAGATCAGACAGATCCTGATTGATGTTGTTAGATGCTGTCAAGTCTGATTGCAAATCACAGTGACCTTATGAACAATAGATTGGAATCTTTCCCTATTCTCTGCCATGCTTGAGCGCACATTTATAGTCACTGTTCAGTTCATCTTATTAAAGGTCAGGTCATGTTAAGTGACTGTTGCTCTCAAGTGCAGTGGGAAGCTAATGAAAGGTTTTAAGCAGGGAAGAGGCGTGATAAAATGTGTGACCCCTTGGGTTCTGCTAGTTTTATTGGAAGGTGTTAAGAATGGAAACAAGTGAACTGTTACAGTGGTTCAAATGAAGTAAGGATAGCTTGCACTAGAATGGATGAGGGGAAAGGTACGGATAAACATTTTAGAGATCAGTGTTGTTATATGAGGTAGTCTCAACTACAGCTCACAGGGACCCTGTGACAACAAATCTAAACTTTGCTCTATCTTGTGTCATCCTCCGTCTCCCGACATGCTCAAGCTCATTGTTACAGTCACTGTCGGTCCGCACCCTTGAGGGTCTTCTTTTCTCTTTCTGACACTCTACCTTTCTTAGCATGATGTCTTTTTCTAAATATTGGTAACATTGACAAAATAGGCTAAAGGTTACTGAGAAGTGAGGAAAGGACGGTATTAGAAATGTCTCTGAATTTTCTCACTAAACAGGTGAGTAGATGAAAATGTGTATTATTTATGAAAAGATGAGGGAATCCAGGTGAGGTTTTGGACATGAGTTCAAACATTGGTTCTCACATATTAGTCATGGCATAGCCAAATGGAGATATCTAAAGGCCGTTTACATATGAATCTACAGTTCAGAAGAGAGGTCTGTATACAGAGGGGTGATAGATTTTGCGATAGAAATGGGCAAAGTTGCCTAGAAAGTCAAGCTTCAGAAGTTAGGTAAAAGACAAACAAGTATCTCAGAATCCAAGAAAACAGTATTTCAAAATAAGAGTAAGTAAATTGAAGCTGCGAGAAATTTAGTAAGAAGACAACAAAATATCCTTTGGATTTAGTTAGTATCTGTTATCAACTATAAGTAGGAGTGAAGAGCTTGAAGAATGAATACACACACAAAGATGTCCAGGTTAAAGTAGCAAACATTCATGTATCTAATTTTGCTCTCAAGCTTCTCTTAAATCACAGTAAAAGAGTGTATTTATTTTAAAACTACAAATTCATAAATGTGAGAACACTGGAACGGGAACAATCACAGGAGAAATTTGGAAACTGTAAAGGAAGCACAAAAGAAGTAACTGACTTAATAGACCACATCCTAAAGCAGGGTGGTGCATGATGTTATTTGCGTGGAGCCAGAACTGACCCATAGCTCACGCCCAGAGGGTTTTCAGAGGTGGTAAATCACACTCTATAGGGAGGATACTGCCCATCCTTCTTCTACAGAGCATCTAGTGGATTCAAACCACATGCCTTAAACTAGAGGTGGTGGTGGTGGTTGTTATTATTGTTAGGTGCCTATGAGTTGAGTATGACTCAAAACAATCCTGTGAACAACAGACCTTCCTATCTTGTGTCATCCTTATCATCTCTGATATGCTTGAGCCCAAAGCCAACCCACTTTGTACTGGAATAATAGTCCTCAAACTTTATCATGGACTAAAGCACCTAGTAATTTGTTAAAGTGCTTATTCCTGGGTCCTATCCCAAAGTTTCTAATTCAGTATATCTGAAGTTAGTTCCTTCTAATTTGCAACTAGTTATGACTCTACAGAGAGCATATAGCTAGATGATCAATAGAGTTTTCTAAGCGCAGACCATTCAGAAGCAGATAAACAGACTTATTTCCATTTCAAGGTATCTCTGTCTGGGTGAATTCAGATATTTGGGATATTTAACTCTTTGAACTGTTCAGGAACTTCTCCTGAAATAGGGCCTGAGAATTTTAATTTCTGTTGAGTTCTTAGATGATGCTGATGTAAGTCATTCCAGGACCATATTTGAGAACCATTGCACTAAAGAGTCCTTAGTAGGCCTATAACTGGTTTTATCAGGGGCCTTTGGAAATGTGGGAAGACAAAGCAAGTTGGAGAAGAGTTTTACAAGAGAAGTTCTTGTTTTTCTTAGGTGCCATGAAGTCAGTTATGGCTCACACTGACCCTTTGAACAACAGATCTGAACATTGCCTTATCCTGGAACATCCTTACCATCACTGATATCCTTGAGCCTTTATCCCCTATTGAGAGATAGAAAATACAACCTGGAAAAACAAGGAGATTTATAAACATGTGTAGTGAATACTAATGCCAATAACCATATTTTACTCCCCAGGTGAGATAATGGAGGGGATCTCCTCTGAGGAAGATGAAAATCTTTGTATACTAACATTGAGATTCCCCATCAGTCAACAGATAGTGCGCATGTGCTCAGGACTTTTAATCAGGCTTTTGTTAAATGTTGATAGAAAGAAAAAACAACAAACAACTAAGGCTCTTCAGACATCTGAAGAATGCCTCTAATATGAAAGAGCCTAGAACAAATAAACAAACAATTTTAGAATACATTATTAAGGTGAGCAAAGTAAAAATATTTAACTGGTATCCTAAGAGATAATGCTAAGAAAGCAAATAAATCTGTCATGGAAGAAGTGCAACCAGATTGCACCTCAGATAGTGATACATTATCTCACATATTATGTTATCTAGTCCTTGAAAAAGGACATGATGCTTGAAAAAATAAAAGGTCAGAGAAGGAGAGGAAAACCCTTAACAAGATTGACTCAGGAACTGCCAACAGAGATTGTGAGGATGGTGCACAACTGGGCAAGGTTTCAGTCTGTTGTAAATAGGTTCACTGTGAGTCGGAGACCTGGATGACGCCTAAAAGCAACACAGAGAGAGCAGACCATCATGTATCCATAAAACAAGAGTAAACTCATTGCAGACAAATTGCAACTGACTCATAGCTGACCCTCCAGTGAATTCTCCAGCTTTCTCCCTCTGAGAAGCTGGTAGATTTGAACCTGCTGCCTTTGGGTTTAAGGTAAAACTCCTTACCTTCAAGGCCACCAGGGTTTGGCTGCTTTTGGAAATTCAGGGTAAATAAAAGAGATCTTTTAACAAAGAAACACAAGGCTAGTTTCCATCAAGTTGATTATCATGATGTCAGGGTACATAGGGTTTTCAGTTGGTGATGTCTTACAAAAACAAATTGCTGGACCTTTCTTCCAAGGCACTTTTGGTAGACTCGGTACTTCAGAATTTATGATTGTCATTGTTAGGTGTCATTGAGTCAACTGTGAGTCATTGTGACCCTATGAACAATAGACTTGAACCCTATCCTGTCCTGCACCGTCCTTTGACATATTGGAGACCATTGCAGCAATCCCCATGTCAGTCTATCAGGTAATGATAGGAGAGGGAAGAAAGCAAGGAAATTTTGATACCAGTCTAGTAAGCCAAGGAATCAAATAGGTGTGTGAGAAATAGACAACAAAAGGGAGGGAGCCATTAAAAATATAGTTTAGGAACTTTCTCAAGAACTGAAGAACATGTGCTTCTATATTGAAGAATCCACAAAAGTCCCAACAAAATGGGTGGTAATATGCCCACATTAAGGTATATGATTGTAAATTTTCCAAGCATAGAAGAACTAAGATAATTTTGTAAACTTCCAAAAAAGAATAGATAACATAGTGAGGATGAAAACTACATGACTGACTAGACTTCTCAGTAGCAACTATGAAAGCAAGAAGTCACGGTGATGGTTGAAATTTTGAAGGAACTTTTTTCTTACCAATTTAGAATTCTATGGCCAGCTCAGCCTCAATCAAATGAGAAGGTAGAATGAAGATACATTCAGACTCACATTCATCTCATGACTCCGAAGAAGTACTACCCACATACCCCTTTTAAGAACTTTCTTTGAAGGTATACTTTACCAAAGTTCCATACCTACCAAGATGACTTAAAGTAAGATGACTGACAGTTCAAGAATTTAGTGAGGATTGGAGCAAATGGAATAGTGTATTCTTATGGTGACTCTAAAATGATACAGCTAGTGGAGGAGTTCTTAGATAATTAAATGTGTACCTACCCAATGACCCGAAAGTCCTATTCTTAAGTATTTACATAAGAGAAATAAAAAATATATATCCTCAGAAAAACTTGAAGCAGTTATATTCATAACAGTCCCATAAAACTTCATAATGATTCATTTCATAGCAGTTATATTCATAATGGACCCATATTGAAAACAATCCAAATATCAGCAAGTGACTGTTTATACAAATTGCAGTATTTTTCTGCATTGATATACTACTTGACAATTAAAAATAATACATTTGACAATAGAGGTGAATCTCAAAAGTATTGCTCCAATTGAGACACAGTTATTCATGCTATGATTCTATTTAGAAGTCCTAGAATAGGCAAAGTGAATCTGTCTAGAGTGATAGAAATCACATTAATGTTTGTGGCAGGAACAAGAAAGAGGAGATTTCAAAGAGTTGCAAGGAAAACTTTCTGGGATACCAGAAATGTCCTATATCTTTAATGAGATGATGGTTACAGAGAAATAAATTTGTTATACTCATTAATTTAAATTAGTGTATTTTATTGTATGCAAATTATACTTTAAGAAAGTGGGACTCTTCATCAAAAAGACTAAGTACAGAAAGAGGGAGACAATAAGAACTGGAAACAAATCCCTGAGATAATGATGAGCTCTCAAATGACAAGTATACACTTAACATCAATCACAATCATTCCAACTTGGAACCCATCAGAAGTTTCCAAAGGAAACTTTTATAAGAAGGTAACAGTATCTCTGTGATTTGAGTAGATGTCTTGAGGAGAAATGTAACTACCAATGAGGAATGAAGTTTTAAGTCCTGGCACCACACTGCAAGAATGGGCGTAAGCACAGAAGATGTGGAAAGGATGGCACAAGGTCAAGCAGGGTTCCATTCCATTGCACATGGGGTCACTATGAGTTGGAGGACCTGACAACAACAACGAAAACAATACAAGTGAAAAAAAGAAAAATAAGCTAACTTTAAGGAAAACATTAAAAAAATATACCAACTCCTTGCAATCAATTAGGAGCCAAATTATAGCTGACTCTCCATTAGGTTTCCAAGGCTGTAAATAACATGGGGGGAGCTTACCCATCCTTCTCCCATGTAGACACCTGTAGATCGAAACCACTAGAAAGGCACTGTCATTGGATTAGCAGTGAAACTCACTATGGACTATGCCACCAGAACATCCTGTATCTGAAAATGCATAGGAAAGAAGAAGAAATTGTTTTTGTTGTTAGATGCCACCGAATACAAGTCATAGCGACCCTGTGAGCAACAGACCTGAGCCCTGTCCAATATTGTGCCGTCCTCATCCTCTCTGACACATTTGAGTCCATCGCTGCAGTCACTGTCAATCCATATCATTGGGAGTCTTCCTCTTTTTCATTGACTTGTCATCTTTCCAAGGAATAGCTTCTCCTAGCAACATGCCCAAGGTGTGAAAGACAAAAAACTTCACCATCCTTGCCTTCACGGGGCAGCTGCACTTTTCCCCAGACATCTGTTTGTTCATTTTGTGGTCCATAGAATAGTGAGTAATCTCTCTTCAGTTAGTATAGTGGTTGTTAGTGTCATGTTGTTGTTGTGCATCTTTGAATCAACTGTCCAATAGCTGACTCTCTATTGGGTTTTCAGAGGCAGTTAATCTCACGAGAGATTACCCATCCTTTTCCTGTGGAGCAGCTGGTAGATTTGAACTGCCTTCTTTCAAGAATTAGGCCATCAGAGCTTACCACTAGGCCAAAAAAGCTCCCTGTAATTAATTATAGTTTACTGTAAATTATGTGGCATGGTAAATGTAGACATAAATATAAAATATTATTCCAGCCAAAATTGCAATACAATTAAGGAAATTACAAGAAGTAAACTTTGTAGGCATGAAATTGTTGGGGAAGAGCACCAAATCTAAAGTTAATACATTAATGTTTAAAACAATGGGGTGGAAAAACCCCTAAGATTAACAATAAAAGATGTTATTAAGAAATACCTAGGTTAGTTTCAGAAAGGACCAGTTAAAATAATTAAAAGAAAATGTCTCTGCATAATTAGAATGAGAGAAAAAGATGCTAGAGACCGTTATGTTTTTTATCTTATAGATGAAGTTGACTCCTCTTCCAGTAATGTATACTATCTGTGCAACTTTGATTTTTTAAAAAAATTAAACTTTTAAACAAGTGAGAGAAACGAGGTGAGGTATATAGGTAATGGAATAATCTTTTGGGAAGAGCCAAGAGAGTGTTGTGTTATATGCCATCGAGTTGAATACAACCCAAGTTGTTGTGGTGGCTGTTATGTGCCATTGACACATATCACCTGCGACTCATAGCGACCCTCTTAGAATAGCTCTGAACCCTGCCCTATCCTGAGCCAATCTCATACTCTCCAACATGCCTACTCCCATTGCCCTCGTCACTGACTGAATCATTCCATCTCATCTAAGGTTTTCCTCCCCTGTATTGCCTCTCCTCCACCCTTCCAAGCATGATGTCCCTCACCAAGGACTGGTACCTTCTGGCAACATGCCCAAATTATGTCAGACAGAGCTTCATAATCCTTGCCTTCCAAGGAACAGCCTAATTTCACACTCTCTAGAACAGACTTGGTTGTTCTCTTTGCAGTCTCTGGTATATTCGATGTTCCACAAGCACCACAAGCCAAAGATAACAAGTCTTCTTTCGTCCTTAGTCATTGTCCACCTCTCTGATGCATAGCAAACAGTTGTGAAGACCATGGCTTGGATCCTGTTGCACCTTAGTCTCCAGACTGACATGCTCTTCAGTACTTTGGAGAGGTCTCTGACAGCAGATTTTCCCCATGTAATTTGTCTTTTGATTTGCTGACTGCTGGTGCCAAGAGTATGATTATGAAATCAACCTGAAATTGTTAACAACCTCAATCTCTTCTCCATCTATCATGGTGCTGCCAGTTGGCTGAGTGGTGAGATTCTTTGTTTTCTTGATGCTGATCTTCAATCCATATTGAAGACTGCAGTCTTTGACCTTCTGCAACAAACGTCTCAGATCCTCCTCAGTTTCAGCAAACAAGAGTTGTGTCATCTGCATAACACAGGTTGTTGATGAGTCTTCTTCCAATTCTGATGCCACATTCCTCCTCATAAACTCATACAGCTCATAATGACGCTGTAAACAACAGATCTAAACCCTGTCCTGTCCTCTTAGTTTGGCAGTCCAAAACTAACAAACAGACATATATCTTGGAGAAGGTGCAATCTGAGTACCCCTTAAAGGTAAGGGTGATAAAGCTTTGCCTCACATACTTGCATAATGTTAGGAGGGGCTTTTCCATGGAAAAGACATTATACTTCAAAAGATGGAAGGTCGGTGAAAGAGAGGAAGGCCTCAACAAAATGGATTAGGACAGCAGCAATGGGTTCAAGTGTGTCAAAGCTGATGAGAATGGTGCAGGACAGGACTCTTTTCCAACACTGCATCTCAAGGACCTCTATTCTTTTTCTGTTATCCTTATTCACTGCAGAGATCTCAGTTGCCTAGAAAGTGATTGAAAACACCATGGTCTGAATCGGGCGCACCTTAGTCTTTAAACTGGCATGATTGCGCCTCAGGACTTTGGAGAGGTCTCTAACAGCAGACTTTCCCAGTGCTATATGTCTTCTGATCCCCTGACCGCAGGTGCCAAGGGATTGTGAATCCAAGTAAGCAAAAATCATTGACAATGTTTACCTTTTCTCCATCTGTCATGATGTTGTCTGTCTGCCCAGTGGTGAAGATTTTTGTCTTCTTGATAATAAAATGTAAACCAGAGTGACAGCTATAATCTTTTAACTTCTGCCACAAACATTTCAAGTCTTCCTCACTTTCAGCAAGCAAGGTTGTGGCATTTGCATAACATAGATTGCTGAGGAGTCTTCCTTCTATTCTAAAGCCACATTTTTCTTTAGGAGTCCAGTTTCTTGAATGATTTGCCCAACATTGAATAGGTATGAGAGAGGACATAACTCTGACACACACCTTTCCTGATTTTAAAACTTCCTCTGTATGGACAAGAGCTTCTTGATCTAGATGTAAGTTTGTATGAGCATAAATTAAATGTTCTGCAATCTCTATTCTTCTCAATTTTAACAACAGTTTGTTCCTTTGCATAGTTAATGAAACACAAAGAGACATTCTTCTGCAGTTATTTGAAGGAAAGAAATCCAGATAAGATTTAAAAAAAAAAAATCCCAAAACCCTTTGAATGCTGATCAGATACTCCAAAAGAAAGGGAGAGCGTGGAAAAAAAGAGAATAATGAAATAAGTTCTTAAGAAGGTGGAGGAGGTAGGTAGGAGTGGCATCCTAGAGCAAGGATGAGGCCTTTGATGGGAGAGACACTTAGCTCTACTATTAAAGGAGATAGGGAAGTCAGGACTAGATAATAAATTAGTAGATTTATTGGCCTGAAAGTGAAACCTCCCATCCAAATGGCTTCCATTTCCATAGTGAAGAATACAAGGCAAAGGGAGTTAAAACTACTCAGATGGAATAGTTGTATGGGCAGGAGAAGGATTTGAAAAAGAAAAATACTGGTAGTAACCTCAATGAGTAGAAAAGGTCTGGTTTCCTTATGTTAATAACGTATAGAGTGAGTTTATGTTTAGAAAGTAATAACTTTATTTTCAGGACTGATAAAAGGATGCTCTGGTGGCCTGGTGGTAAGCAGGGGTGTTGCCATGCTGAAGGCCCATGTTTCAAATCCACCAGCTACTTTGCAGGAAAGAAGGGCAGTCTCCTCCATGAAGTTTTCCTGCTTCTGAAAACCTGCTAGAGGGTTTTTGAGTCAGTTCTGACTCAGTGGTTAACAACAAAAAAAGATGCTAAGAGGACACTCTGGTGGCCTGGCGAATAGAGAATTCTGCTGCGAATCTAAAGGCAGGCGGTTTGAATTGACCAGCTGTCTGAGAGAACTAGACATCTCTTGATTTACAGCCTCTAAAAACCAGCTGAACGATCAGCTGTAAGTCAATTCCAACTAGATGACAAGAGTAAATAGCAAAAGAGATTAAGGCAGGAGCTCAGTATTAATTCCTCTTTCTTCCCTTTCCTTTAGTTTTCCTCACGTAGCTAACCTTCTCACTTAAACATACTGCTCCATTCTCCATGCAGAAGCAGGAGAAAATTGCTGAAATTTTAGAAACATACATTGAAATGAGTTTTCTGAAGCAGACCTTTTGTTATAGGATTACATGAGGTGCTGATTAAAAATGTAATAGTTCTGCTCTAGACCCACTGATTTGGAACCTCTATGGTAGTGGGAGCTGAGATTCATTATAACAATTTCCTTAGTTGATTCTTCTGTGTAGTAGAACTTGAAAACTCTTGCTCTTTAGTCTATAGGAGGAGCTTCTGAGCAGCACACATGGTTCATTCCAATGGTTATATTAAAGCACTTAAGGCTATAATTTTAAGTCCATTTCCTTCTTTAAACCTGCTGGTAGAAGTGCTAACAGAATTTAAATGATTCTTCTGTTCTTCATTTCAAACTGTTTATAAGTGATAAAAAAAAAAATGAAAGTACTAAGTATTGACAAAAAAGTAGAGAAATTAGAATCTTAATCCATTACTGGTGAGAACACAAAAGGGTACAACCACTGTGGAAACAGTTTAGTAGTTCCTTACCTAGGAATCTTACTGTAAGTTCTGATTCAATATATCTGATTATTGTTGTTGTTATGTGCCATTGAGTTGCCAGTGACTCATAGCATCCCTGTGTACAACAGCCCTAAACCCTGCTCTATCCTTTGGCAATCTTACTGATTCTGACACACCTACCCCCCATTACCCCAGTCACTGAATCAATCCATCTCATTGAGGTTCTTTCTCTCTTGAGCTGTCCCTCTACACTCCCAAGCATGACATCCCTCTCCAAGGATTGAGCCTGCCTTGCAACATGTCCAAAGTATGTCAGATGAAGCTTCAGAATCCTTGCCTCCGAGGAGAAGCCTGGCTTCACCCTCACCAGAA